AGGAAAGGAAAGGAAAGGAAAGGAAAGGAAAGGAAAGGAAAGGAAAGGAAAGGAAGGAGTCTGGGTTGGTGAAGTTACACTATGGTTGCCACTCATATAATAACATTTCTGAGGGACAAAACCTGAATACACCAGTGAGACAACAGTCACAGCTAAGATCAACACCAAGGCAAGGTGATCAGGCCATATGTAAGGTAAAGTGATGTTCTCTCTGCTGTATGAAGTTATAAAAAGTCACTGACGTGCATCCAGTGCAGCTCTGTCATGATACTCACAGCTAGTTTCAGCAGCCGCTCCATCATCCTAGAAAAGTCCATTTCCTTTGAGACACAAAGAATGAAGTTCTTGTAATAAGATCACACCGATTACATGCGGTTTCTTGCCTCTTGCTTTTCTTTTTTTGCTGATTTACTGCAAATACTGAGATACTGCTGGCTTACATTTATGTAAATCCAATATACAATGTGTACATTGTGTGTGTGCCTGTGTGTGTGTTTGCAGGATACGCACCTGGAATGGTTTCATTGAGTTCTGGATAGTGGGAACCATCCACTGGAAGACACACATTTGAATTTTTGTGTTGTTTAAATGTTGTTACATAAATATGATGACAGAATACAGATATTTCTACAACAAATGTAAAAACTCTGCATACCTGCTGTATTAATCCCACCAACAACTGCATGAAGAAAAGCTGCAAGACAGAGCAAGTAATGATTGAAACCAATATTCATGCTTGTCTGCGTTTGTTGTTCATTTCCAACCATCTTAATATGACTGAGATGTCGGGACAGTGTTTGTTACTGTTCTAACCATTTCAAAAAGTCTTCTCATCAGGAACCTCTTGCGTATTCGAGGAGACCGCGGGAAGTTGAGCTGGTAGCAGAGAGTTGGTGCAAAGACAAAGTAGTACATGTCTACAAACAAACAAACATTGAAAAGGTCAAGTCAGGCTGCAGTTCAGTTGTGAATGCATACACTAGTACAAGCTACACCACACTGACGAGTTAATACACACTTTATGAGAGTATGTTTAATTATGAAAGTTTAATAACCTCAAGTTTATTTTACATTTAAACCTAGTAACAAAAATCTTTATTATGATTTGTCATTGTACCCTTGTGAGAGATGCAGGACTACTGGTACATGTAAATTACGCTGACATTAGAATATTTTCACTGTGTGGAGGAATCACTTTTGTCCCAGTAAGTATCTTCATCCCTGCTATCTGTACATACTGTAAAAAAACAAACAATCTGTGCGTTTTCTCTCCATGGGTCTGCGTGGTTACCTCTGTGTGTGAGGTTTCCTGGGTAGGACACATGAGTCTGAAGTGCTGACCCATTGGACTGTGCCACAGTGGGACCTGAACAACACAGAGACGTCCAATAAGTTGAATTTTAATCATTGTGCAATGGTCATCACGCTGCATTAAAATCTCCAGTTCCAAACCACACACTGTGGCCCAGCTGTTACAAGACACACAACTTTGATCCAAATCCCCGTGGGTGCCAGGAACTACAGTTTACTATGCCACCACTTGATGGTAGTAGCAGCCCAGCAATAAGAGAAAATAAATTATAATCCTTCTAAATGTGCAGAGCCATGTGTGTGTGAATCATTCTTTAATTTATTCGCAGAAGTAAGAGCTGTTGCTTGACCTTAGTTGAGATTATTCAACAGCCCCTCAGTGCGCGTCGATACACTTACATGAATATGATCGTGTCAGTCTTTTGGCTTTGGCTTGTCTGATTTCTCTGCACCACCTGTTGGCGTCTTTGTAAGAGTACAGCTTGAGAAACAGCACTGTGTAGATCCCGAGGGAGAGCACACCACCCACTGACACACACACACACAAACAGACAAGAGACATTAGATAAGTGCATTAAATAATGCAACAGACAAAAGGAGCATGATCAGGTGTGTGTGCACATGCAGTAGCTCTATTCCAAAACAGCGTGTGTTGTATATACTATATATCATGTATCTATACAGGACTTACCTGGGGTCATGGACGTCACAGTGAGTACTGTGACTGCAGGACAGATCATCAAGCATGTCAGGATAAAAATGTGAAAAATCAGTCCTGTAGTTTCAGAGATGGTTCCCTAGAAAGGATGATATACAAACAGAAAAGTGCATCATTACTGTAAAACATTTTATTTATTGATATGCTTCCCCAAACTGTGCAACACTAGACTGCACACGCTTCTCATAATTAAAATATTGCTGCTGTCAATCTTGTTCTTATCAAAGTTAGCACAGCAGGTTTTAAAAAGCGTGCTGCTGTGGTGTTATATGTACTTTGTAAACTGCACTTAAGTTTAAAGCAAACATTACGAGAGAGAATGATGTGTCCACCAGTTATTTTGGGCCACGAGTTAAATGAAAATGTGTGTCACTTTGGAAAACATACGCACATTATTGTAAGGACTTACCACAGCCAGACGCCTCTCTGTGTACAGGGCTGCTAGGATGAACACGTTGGACGCTAAAACACAGAACAAAGAGGCGGATTCATGAGCTGCAGAAACACAAAGATGTTTAATAAATTGCTAAATATTTTCTGCAAGCTAGCTTTGAGCATCTGGCCCATGAAAAATTTATATCACACTTTATCAGATCAGCCTTTTGTGGGATGGAGAAGCTGTGAAACACTGTTTATTACTCTCAAACAATAACTAAACCATCAAGTGTGGGAAATACAGCTACAACACTTGTTTACTCAGTTCAACTCCAACTTCAATGTTCGGGTCACGAAAGGAGAAATGGCTGCATCTGTTTAGATAACAGGAAGGCAGTAAAATAAGGCTCCATACCAATGATCAGGCAAGCTGCTGGCCAGCTATACGGGTCCTTTAAGAAGAGAGACACGACTTGGATAGGGTCTACCAAGATGCCATACCTGGAGAAGGAAAAGTAGAATTAGTATTACCGATCCCATGAGGCACAACTTCAATATAAAGTTATATTAATGGCTACAGCGTGTTGAGGTGAACATGGTCGGGTAAAGGTTTGGTGTGGTTACAGTTTGGACCATAACAATGACACAGCTCTAAAAATAAAGAGGACAAGAGTTGTCAAGGATTGTCAGCAAGGAAACAAACTGTATGTCAAATACGTCCATCCATTAGCAATACTAGCTTATCCTTTACAGCAGGGGTCTCAAACTTGCGGCCCGTGGGCCAACTGAGGCCTGCCAGACGATATTTTGTGGCCCACTACTTGACATCAAAGTCTAATGTTAGTGCAGCCTGCGTGTTTTTCTCACCTACGCGAATCATTGCCCTGGGCGTTTTATATTTTTTATCACTTGTGGGCTACCATAGCTCAGGCTCGTGACAGCAACCCGAATAAGCAACGTTAGTCACTTGAAACGTGATTTGGGAGTGTCACCGAGTGGAGGGAAAATATATCCTGTTACCCAGCGCAAATGCATTCTTTTTTTTTGTGCTTTTTTTCTGTCTGCGTGAAAAGCTCTTCTCCACCATGAACTTTAATAAGTCCAAGTACAGGTCCAAATTTACTGACGAGCATCTTCAAGCCATTCTGAAGGTCTCAATTGTTTCCTCCCTCAAGCCAAATGTGGCTCAGCTGTGTAAGATGAAGCGCTGCCAGGTCTCTGGTAGCAAGGAGTAGGTAAGAGAAGGCTATGTTCTGAAGAACCATTCATGTTCAGAACTGTTACTCATAAAGATTGAGAAGATTGGATCAGTTGTACTTCTTTTTGGAATACTTGAAACCCTGTGGAATACTCGATGCGGCCCAGCCTCACCCAAACTCTTATCTCCAGCAGCCCCTGGGTAAGTTGGGTTTGAGACCCCTGCTTTACAGGCTTGCGGGGGGGCGGAGCCTATCCCAGCCAACAATGGATATGAGGTAACGCTGTGAAATTATTTTCATAATCTAAAGCTAGCACCTATCTCACATCTGAAAAAAACATATGTACCATAACACTGAGTTTACTTTGACAGGGATGGATGGAAAAATACTAAGGATTGTTTTTCTGTTTCCCAGGTGGCCAATCGTCTGTGAGAATGAGAAGGAGTTCTGAGAGAGAGTTACGCTCCTGTGACAGATAAGAGGGAAGTTAGTGATACAGTCCTATGACAGGTGGAAAAGAAACATAAAGCAATCCTCTCATGACAAGACAAAGACAAACTGTCCAGAACAAAGAGAACTACCACAGGTAGCTTGATAAGAAGAATATAAATACTCTTTTTACTCTGGGAGCTCCTCTCCCATAATCCTGTGTTGTGTGAGATTCTGAGACACTGACTTCAACATCCTCGTTTTGAGAGTAGGGATTCTTTTTCACTATAGGGACACACTTTCATTTCTTAAAGACAGTGTAAAGTTGTTGATAAAATGAATGCAATAGAATGAATAATAATAAGCTGTTTATTATGGTGCAACTGGTATGGTGGTGTGAGGTGAAGGATGAGGGGCGAGTTGGATAACTGCATGGGAGTGAACTGTAAAAGCAGCTGCTTGTGTATATACTGAAAATTGCAGATATGTAGGTTTGTGTGTGTAGGTGGACACTCACTTTATAATGTTCTCCAAGAAGAGGCGTGCATTACTCAGCACCTGAGATAGAACACAAAACATCCAGGAGGAAATAATGAGATCACAGTTAATGCTATTCAACACAAGTCATACCAAAGAAATATTAGAAACACTCCAGAGTTTCTGGTTGTTTTGTATCAGACCATTCACTGAATATGGCCTTTGTTTGGACGCTAAAAAATGCTTAGCTTTAAATCTGGCTTATCGCTTCCTTTCCCTACTTCTGCTTGTGACTGACCAGCAGATTTAACTGTGCTTGTTTGCATGTGCTGAGTTAGTTCTTATTCAAAACAAGGACAGGGAAGCAGCATTGGCTTTAGAAGGACAGACAGTCGCTGCCCAGAGGTAAACAGCCATTCTCATTCAGAGAAATGAAGTATATTAGCAACAGAAAAGTTACATGTTGAGTCCTATCTGTTTGCTCAGGTCATATCCGTGTCACACCTGAATTTAGCAGCATGTTCCTGCTGCCGTCACACCTTGACTATTAACAGGCCTTGTTGCTGCTCAGTGGGAGAAAGTATCAAGTAAAATAACTTTATGATTATATTATGTATTCCAGTCCAAAGTCTGAGTCCAACTTCATCTCAGCCACCAGCTATCTGATCTTCTAGGAGATAAACATACACTCAGCTCACAGACGAAGCAGTATGGATAGAGTACATACATTTTTCTATATTTTTATGGCAGTAATGCTCAGTGTATGAGTTAGACAGAGAGCTAAGATAAGGAGAACGGTTAGCTTATGACACGATAAGGTTTTGTATTACAGTGCGAATACCCATTGGTTTGCCAAGACCCTGCAGCGATGTGGTCGGGATTCAACTATGTCTGTTTTCCAATCCAGTCACCTTTGTCTCAGTAACCTTCAGCATGGACAAGAGAGGACCATCACGTACAACACAACGATCAGGACAGTGGCCTCTACGGACCAGTTATGAATAGAGAACACTGCAATATCTGATTATGCCATATTCCAACAGTACAAATGTGTATTTTCCATCATCTCTGTCCACGGAAAGGTCACTGTGTGATGTTGGATATGGAGCAACACGCTGGGAGGTGGGAGGAACAAAGACGCTTCAACTGGGGGGTATCACGACCGAACCCAGGCTGCTGGGTTAAACAGTCATTTGTTCCTGATGGCATGCTATTGCATTTATGATGTAAGAAATATGTGTAATACTAGGACCTTGACAGTGACCCTGATTGTGGGTCAAATGTCTACATCATAATTCCTTATCTAAATCTTTTTGTTATCATGTACAGTTTCCTAAGTAATAAAAAACTAATGATATAACTTTAAAGAAGTTTTAAAAAAAAATGTAACTACTTTTTAATGAAGAAATATTCTAGTACCATTCATATTTACTTGAATTATCTGTACTATGTTTTTAAACGACAAAGCTAATATAATTTGGAGGAACTATTTTCTGATATTACCTCTGTTTTTCTGTCTGGTTCAAGGTTTAATAAAAGCATAATAATGTCTAATTAAACTGTATCTCAGTGTCCATAGCTGAGGACAGGAGAGACAAATCAGATCTGGAGGAGGGTAAGTTAAAAATAGAAGGAGCCACTGGACTTGGGTGAACCTCAGGACCCTGACACATCAAGATAACTTAAGAAAACTGGTGCCAACAAATGCTGAATGTCTAAACATCTTGAGTCTGATTTAAAAAATTGCAGCTGGAGTTGTAAAGATTTGTTTTGCTTTGCTTTGCACTGACCTCGTCAGCCTGTGGTCATTGAAGCCATTCACGTGGTGTGCTTGGCTGCACATCAGAGGGACCAATGACATGAACCAGCTGAGGTCTCAGTTACTCTTACCACCTCCCTGATCAAGGAACAATTTTGCTAGACAAGGATCCACATTGTGTCTTATACATCTTACATGTTTTTATCATCCAGGCCCAGGAACAAAGGCACACTGTTGTAAAAAGCTGAACTTTCTGTTGGCTCGCTGACACGTGTAGTAGAATCAGTCTTAGTTTGTTTACCATTGTCTGTGTGGCTTGTTACTAACAGATTTAGATCTCCAGTTTAAAAATGAACAGGTTTCAGCTCTGAGACAAAGGACAACTTAAAACAAAGCACTGTTGGCAGCTGTTTGCTTCGCTGATGGATCTGCAGCAGAATGGGTAGCCATCTCCTGGGAGTCCTTATGCAGAACGTTAATTCATCATGTAACAACCAGAAAACACGAAGCCAAAGTGTTTCATGAACTTTAGAATTACTTTTCATTGATTCCTCACTAAACAGAAATATTGCAGTAACACAAAGCAGGATTTCTGTAATTCTGTCAAACGTGTACACTGTAAGGTTGTGAATCAATTGTCGTGTGGAAAGATAAAGAAAGAATAGCAACACATCTCATTTCTCATCTCTACAAACATGCGTTCCTGCAGCTGACAGCCGAGGCTATCAAGACCAAATTGCACAACTAAGACTGTAAACGTACACACAGACACACACACACACACACACACATATTCAAGGCTCCGTGGTTCCACTTCACACTCTTACAGCCTAATCCCAAACGCTTCCTCTAAAAAAGTCTGAAGTGAGCAGTGTCAGCTGTCCCTGGTGACCACAGAGCGGAGGACGTGGTCGTCACGGCGATATAGACTTCTAAAGATGGGATTAATCCTGTCACAGAACTGCAAAATTAGGTTTGATTTGGGGGGAAAAAAAAACAAAGCGTGCACGCGCATGCACGCACGCACACACACACGCACACACACACAGTCAGTAACACAGGAAAAGAAACTGACACAGACACATAAACTGTACTCCAGTGCACAGACAAATAATAGTCTCTCTGCGAACAACCATGCCGAGTATGCATGTGTGTGCACATAGACAGAAACGTTCATACTTGCACATGTGCGTAATGTCCTATTTACATTCCGGGTCCATTTCAATTTCATTTGGATTAAAGCTAAGTGGATATTTGTATCCTCCACGCCTATCAACATAATATTGGTGATTGGATGTTCTGGGTCACTGCAGGTCCCACTGGAGACAGAAAGACACACACTTGCAGTCACCCACTGGAACGAGGCAGAAGCTTTTCTTTTCTAAAGGAGGTCCTGAAGTGACCTCAGCACATAGGGACAAAACGAACTGGGACAGAGTCGTGATCAATATGAAGCTTCAACAGAACACCACTACATATCAACCGCAAGCTTAATAATTGACTTACGACTACAAAACATACATACTTACACATTTTCCATTGTATTTTTACCCTTATCTAGCACAAAACAAGCACATGTGTACAGTCACAGCATATACTGTAGCACAGCCTTAAAGGAAGCGCTTTAGAGTTTTTTTATTTTCTTGCCACTGGGAGTACTTTTGCAAGAAGCTTCTGATGTTGCTCTCAAGTGATCCTTGTAAGCTCATGCTAGCAAGCTTAAGATTTGGTGAGCGTGAACTGTCATGCATACGAGGACTTTTTCTCTGAGCTATTAATAAAAATGTCTCTGCTAGAGAATTAACCATTTGGACTCGTATTGTATTTTAGAATTTTAGAGTCAAACATGACTTCATTGGTTTAGCATGTTGTCTCCACTTTAAGCAGAAGCCATAATAAAAGATGCAGTGGGAATGTCAGTGATGTCATAATACATATGTGACAATTAGAACTGTATCTAATAATGCAATGGTAATGGATAAAGGCCAAACTGTTTGATTTCACATTTGCTTCATGTTCTGTATAATAATTCCAATCTACTGTGGTTATATTAATTATGCCATAGTATATGCTCAGTATATATGATTATATGTTATAGTCTGCAGGTGATAGGTCACCCTTAATGCACATACAGACAACAAAATGTCCACTTCTGATGTGAGTGAAAGTTCAACCTATAAAACAAAGACACTAAAATGCAATTTCTCAACCTACCCTTCATGAAATTAGTAAAAATTTGAAAATACAGGAAATATCAGAGAGGGACCGAGCAAAACTAACTGTTGAATGAGTAAAATTATATGCGGTTATTCTGCTTGTGTTCAGAAAGATAACACACACACAAAAAAAAACTTATCAGACTTCTCACAGACAATACAACAAGTTAATATGCCACAGAGTGTTAGTGCAACAGGTCTGCCACTAAATCCTACCAGGATGTGCACTGTACAAGCTGGCACTTCTGCTTTTCTTGTAAGAGCAACTGTCAAAAGCACTTGTGCAAGCTAATTTGTGCTATATTTGCTAGCAGGTTTATATACTGTAAGAGTGTGTGGGAGAGAGAGAGAGAGAGAGAGAGAGAGACAAAGAGGAAGGGCAGTGTGTAGGGCGATGCATGTGCTCATGTATAAGAAGGCCAAAGAAGGTTGTGTGAGGTAATTTCCAAGATTTTAAAGCAAACATGTTTGTTAGGTTTGTTCTTGCTGACATTAAATGACCCAAGGGATGAGGTTGGGCTATGTCAGGATCAATATTTTGAAAGTCACAGGACAGTGCATTTACAGTCCCGACTTGTCGTACTCACCAGCATGACAACACACCAGTTGAGGATTCCTCTGTAGTTGCTGTAGCCACTCGCTGAGCTCAAGAGAGACTCCTGTAGAACGTGACAGCTGCAGAGAAACACACAGTCAAGAGATGTACTGATTATTATTATTATTATTTTTTAGAATAGATAAAGCTCCTTACACTCCTTCCTGTTTGTTTACCCACACAGAGATAAAAATGGATAACAGAACTGGTAACATCCTCTAGAAACTCAGTAAGCAGTGAGTTAAATTAAACCTGACCTATTAAATGTCATTACAAAGAGACCAGGACTGATTTTAACTTTCACGGACGCTTGTTTGTTTGGCTTGACAGGTGCTGAATGACTCCAATCTTACCAAACACTGGCGAATCGTGGTGAGTCAACTTATGATTAACACAGAAAAGATAGTGTTTAGGTTTACTGAGCAGCATGGTAAATCATTAAAAAAAAAAATTGATTGATTGTTCTAAACACTTAGTGACTTTGCCGAGCTGTTTATCGGCGTCGTAGTTGTGTTTATTCGTACTAAAATCAAACGCATGTATTTAGTAGCGTGGTAGTACACTGTGTATTCTGACCTTAAAGAAATTATGAAAGCCCAGTTGGGGAATGGGGGACAGGGAGAAATATTACGCAGTAGCTTTTAAATGAATAATGTTTGTTCCTGCAATTGCACCAAGCTAGAAAAGGGGTTGTGAAAATGTAGGGTAAAGTTATTGACCCCAAAGAGTGTTGTGAAAACTGAGAGCGGGACAGAGAGACAACTAGAGAGGTTCGAGGGGAGGACAAAAAGGCGGGAGAAGGAGGGACGATTAGAAAGGGATCAGAGGTGACAAGAAGATGAACCTGCAGAGAGTCGGGAAAATTGGATAGAGGACAAGAGGGGCGGAAAATAAAGTGGGGTTAAGGGGAGAAAAGTGGACAAGGAGTATGGATAAAATAAGATGAAGGCAAAAAGAAATCAAAAGTAGTAAAAAGTATATGGGTTCCTGGCTGGGCAGGACACATGTGGCAACCCGAACCAGCAGGAGAACGTGCAGACAGAGACGTAGTCAGTGAGCACAGTATTGCAAAAGCACATGTTTCAGAAAAACGCCACAACGTCATCTCACTGGCATGGGTTCAATAAAGGCATTACAATCACTCTGTTGCATCACTCCAGACCCAAAAAGATGTGGACATTTCTGTGGCAACTTAAAGAAATGCATGAAACTAATTTATTATCTTGTCAAGTTTATGTTCCTGTCACTGGGAGGACTTTTGCTCATGGTGTGGACGGATCTGAGGAGTGGGCGTGGAGCGGTAAAGTGAATGGTTGCGTTCAGGGCAAAAGTCAGCCTATTGTTTCTGCCCTTATTATGTCAATTCTTACGCGAATCATACCTTCCTACTAATGCCAAGACACCTGTATGCTACCTGTATTCAGCTTTTTATTTAATAAAAGTAAATTAAGTAGGGCTGCAACAAATGCTCCATTAATCTGCTCATTATTTCATGCTTGAGCAATGAAACTGAGAAAAGATTTTTCTAATACACTGGCAGATTAAATTGTTATTGCAGATTGATTTTTAGTTCATTATCTAGTTCTTTAATCTCTGAACTAAGTATAAAAACTTTTTTTTTTAAAGCATACTCTTACTACTTTTAACACTGGCTCACCAAGGAAGCAAAGAAGTGTGCAAAGAGCAACAACCTCACAGTGCAGGTACCAGATGCAAGCACTGATCGTTGTCGGTGTGTTTCTACACTAGGAGCACATTTCTTTGCCACATCCTCTCAGATGTGGTGTAAAATAAGAGCTGTGACACTGAGCTGCTATTGAGGAGAACAGAGGACAGGAGCTTGAATTCACATTTACTGTACACTAAATCACAAACTGCTGGACTTCAGTGCAGAATTAAATCCTACAGAAGTGTACAACCACTGGTGACAGTATCTTGGTTTTCAGTAGCTGAGTCTTGGAGGCTCTATTTAATGCAAAGACAGCTTTAGCTAACCTCAAGGAAAATTCAATTAGCTGAAGGAAACCCCAAAGGGCAGTAATATTTTAATAGTAAGGTCTGCTTATAATGTATGTATGAAAAATATATACACGAAGAAAGCAGAAAAATCTGGAAAGTGATATGAAATGTTGTTCCTGACATGTTTTTAAAATTTTTTTGATTGTACATACGTGTGGTCGGACCAGCGGTTACCTGAGCCTGTCGCTGATGTCCTCCGCCGCACTCCGCTGCCTCTTCGGGCTGCTCCTGAGCTGCTGCTGCTGCTGCCCTGACATCCCACCCTCTCGGTCCACCTTCCCGTTGTTACTCGCATGCTTTGACGCCTCGTCCCCCGCTTTGGCTTTAGCCGGACACTGTGGAGGTTTCTCCCCGGCATCGTGCGACTTGTTCCCGTTGGCTTGCTTCACCCCGGTCGACCCACCGCCCCCTCCGGAGATGGTCGTCCTCCTCCGCCGGGTTACGGGCCCTCTCATCTCGGCTCTGTCGCTCATCTCAGCGGCTTCGTTCACGCAGTTTTCTACCTAAAAGACATCGCCGTTGGAGCCGCCGTGACTGGGTCCCTCCGTGTTTCTCTCTGTAGCTTTAAAACAAGAGCTAAACGCGCAGAGGCGGGACACCTTCCTGCGTGTCGTGTCAGCGCTGCTAATGAACGAGGCGTCTACGGCTCAAGGTGCATTTGGCAGGCGGGTTGCCAGGTCCGTGTTTCCAGCTGATATCCCCCCATCGAGCCTAAGTCACCACCAACTTCCGGATTAGCTGCTGTGACACAAAACACTGAAACTTAATTCTGGGGTTTACTTGTCAGGTTTCAGACTTTCAGCGGCAAAAAGAATCGGGACTCTTAGTACACCAAATATGTAAAATGTACCATGCCATTTATTGTCACCTTTTACAAAGCTTTTAAAGTCAATGGGGATTAAAATACACTGTAAAAATGCAAACTGTAAAAAAAAGGTTAGTAATCCTGCAGCTGTGGGAGCAAAAATGCTGTCAAGTAAAGAAAAAATAACTGTCCCATTACAGTACAGGAATTTTCCATATTTAAAATGTATTTTACAGTAGATAATGTGTATTTTTGTGGCTTAATTAAAAAAAAAAAAAGATAAGTACTTATGTATTAAAACAATTAAATTTCATACACACATTACATACATACATACACATATATGCATAGTTTTTTTATTTGACAAACAAATTTTGAAAAAAATCGATTGTTTATTGTCACTAATCATAGAACATTTTTTTGAAATGTTTTTACAGGATACAATTTGACATTAATCATTTTGTCTATTTGCCTTTTTATGTCAACAAATTTCAGTTTTCTTAATAAAAAAGAACATTTATAGTTATTCAGATATACAGATTTTAAACCTTATTTTATACTGAACATGTAAGTTCAAATTCTGTTTTTATGACTGTATAGATATTTTTGTGCATTTGAAAAATGCAGATAAAGGCTATAAAATAAAAAGAAAAAATCAGCAAATTTACGGATTTTTTATTTTTATTTTACAGTGTATGTACCAGTTGTTTATTTCTGCCATCCAGTATTGTTAGTATTATTTTTAATTACCTATTTAGTCATTCAGTCAATCAATCAATAATCAGACAAATCAGACAAGGGCGCTGGCTTGGCTGGCAGTCCCGACAGTTCCTGTCTCTTGGACAGATGTAACTGTGAATGTAATTTCCCTGTAAGGGATTAATAAAGTATTATTGATTGATTGATTGATTGATGTTAAACACATTTCCATTGTATTTAAAGTAGATTTAATAGAGTCTGTAATATGAGAAATCTTCCATGAGTTAAGCACCAACAATCAATGAAGGCATCTGATTATGTTGTAGCTAGCAGTATGAATATATGGATAGATATTAGAGCAGGAGGGGCACCATCAGGAGAAAACCAGTCCTGATAAACCATGTGAAACCCATTACTCCTGTATACTTTTAAGAAATTGCTTTGCTCCGTAGTTCTCTCTAGAATCACACCAAAGTCTTGGCCCTCTTGCAGTCTGGGGGAAAAACTGTTTATTCACATTTGTGATCTGTTGGTTTGGGGTGAGAACCTTTAGTGGAGATTGGATATGCAAACAATCTGAGAGATAGAACTCACCTAAAATGAACCATTAGTTGCCTGACATTTAACATATCAGTTTGCAAATGCAAACTAACTGCATTCAGAGTTATTCTTTTCCAACCGCATGACTCCATTTTTTTTAGCTTTATGTAAATGCATTTTAGGCAATACAGTCAGGCCTTTACTACACAGATCAGCTTAAAAGTAAATCAAGTTTAATAGAAGTTCATGAAAATAAAGCAAATTATTCAAGAATTTTCAATAAAAACTGACATTTTATGAATATTTTAACAGGTATTGGATTTATTCTTGCTCCACAAGAAGGATTGTGAGAGTTTTATATCTGCATTATTTTTGTTGTTGTGCTCACTGAGTGTATAGAAAGATATCTTTTAACACAATATATATAATCCTTATATACACAGGAAGAATAGTGTAAAGAGCACAGGCACGTTTATATTTTTAACAATATTATAAGTTTTCTTTATCTTTTTTTATAACTACAGGGAGGCAGAACTTTTCTGTCCCTTTATGAAATTGTGAAAACTATTAGTATGGCTAATTGTGTCACTTTCAATATTTCATTTATAATCCAAATTAAACCAAACATTGTCAGAGTTGCTCAAATATCAGGACTACAAATCTGCGATCAAGTTCGGTTGCGTTGCGAGATGGAAGGAAAGCCAATAGAGTGAGTGCATATGATCACGTGTCCATTAAAGCCAATCAGAGCGTAGCACTGTGGTTTCGGTTAGGTTGATATTTTCAACGACAGCTGTTGAGGGAAGCGTTGTCGTTGTGGCAGCTATTGTCAGTATTTTCACCTGTTTACAGAGGCACTTTTTATTGGTTATTTAGTCTATGGCACAGGACAAACTTCGTCATTCGGTAGTTTGTATTTAAAGGGGATGAAAAGAATCAAAAGGAAGAAACAAAACGGAGGAGTTGGGGTGAATGGATCTGGCACAAGAGGTAAGCGCACCACAGGTAGCTAACATTAGTTTTTAAATAAAGATAAATCATAAAGATAAATCAGACATACATTTAGACGAGTCACAAGGCATTTTCTTCTATTATATTTGTCCTGTGCATTTGTTTAAATCGAGATATCTGTCATGTCTGCATTGACGGAAACTTTACCAGTCTGGACTATGCGGCAAAATCTCATTGAACCTAATACTATTATTGCAGGCAGGTGACCCAAGCTGGACACTGATCTCTGGTGGTTTTCCCACCTGCCTCCTTCCACACACTGAGTAAACTTTAGCTACATATCTGCAAATCCTGCTTGCGTGGCAGACTGTCAGTGAGTTTGGACGGTTTGGAAAGCTGACAGCTGTCTGGCTGGCTGTCAGCCGGGGAGACAGAAAAAAAAGGTCCTTTCAGTCATTCACTGGGCCAGAAGAGCGCTGTTGTAACCGATTTCATCACTTAACAGTTTGATTAACCCCTGAAGTCATTCAGACACTTTGACCCCAGAATCAGTGAATATCTGACATAGTGTCACACAGTGAGTCATCGTCATGCTATTGTCTGTATGAAATGCATTAAATGGGTTGGTCAAAAGAAATCTTTCGTTCAGAGTTTAATGACAAAACTTCTCAAATCATTTTTTGTCCGTGCAAATTCTGTCAACTATAAAAATTTCCTGGCAAAAGTCATACTTTAAATGTTCATTGTTTAAAGGCGCTTTGTAACAGTTAAAGTATGACAAAACTGTCTGTCCCAGCCCTAGAAACCGTACCTTGGTATGTGTATGTCTCTTGTGTGTTGAATACACACATTACCAGCTTCTATTTATAACCCCAGTGCAAACTCTCTTCTCTCGTCCTTCTTCCCTTCCATCTGTCTCCTCCCACATCCCATTTCCTCCACATTTATCCATCCCCCTTTCCTTACGCTTTGTTTCCTCTGACCTGATATCTTCTCTCTTCACTCTATTTCTTCTCTCTCATCCTCCCCCCCTCTGTCCCTTCTTTGCAGAACCAAGTTCTGGGAGGAAACAGAAGCTGACTGAGATCCATCAGGCTTTGATCAGGTTAATATACTATTACCAGTTGCAGTATGTCTGCTAAGCATGCTTACTCTTTGTACGTAGGACATGTTTTTATTTCGAGCTGTTTTAAAACAAATTTTAATTCCACGTTAAGACCCTATGTTGCTGCTAATGGGACATTCTGATTTAAAGTCCATCTATTATCTATACACCGCTTAATCCTCACTAGGGTCGTGGGGGGCTGGAGTCTATCCCAGCTGACTTAAGGTGAAGGGCTATCACAAGGCTACACTTAGAGACGGACAACCAAGCACACTCACATTCACACCTACAGACAATTTAGAATCACCAATGAACCTCAACCTTGTGGGAGGAAGCAGGAGAACCCGGAGAGAACATGCAAACTCCACGCAGAAAGATCCCTGGTGTTCTCACCGGGACGCAAACTGGCGACCTCCTTGCTGCGATGCTAAGGTGCTAACCACAGAGCCACCTTGCAGCCCCTGATTTAAAGTGCTGATTGATCAAGTGTTAGTGATGAAGCACAACACAAAACAGGAGCTACCTTTAAGACACCTTAACCGTGAGTGACACTGGAGGTTAAGATTTTCCATTCGATACAATGCCTTCATTTGTTAATAACTCTCCCTAGAAAACATCTGCAAAATTAAAAAGTTTTTTAGAATCCTAAAAAGTTTTCCATTTTCCATCATCCTAAACGCCTCCATTAGCACTACAGCTTCAAGCCAAGTATGTTTCTCCCACTGGGACTTTTCCTCCCTCAGCTTGTCCGATATGCTTCGCCAGAATTAGACGGTTTGCATTTATCCACAGACAGTGACCTTCATCGCTCCATGCTAAGATGATTTCACACATAGAGATTACTCACATGTGCTCAGAGGAATAGTGTGATAAGGATCATGAGGACTTTTGTGTGAAGAGGTAGTTGGGCCTGGATGAGAAATAGCACAAAAAAAGACTAAATGCACAATAGCAAAAGCTCTTTGTCTAGTCAATTTAGAGATCTGGACTCCTATCATGCTGCCATCAGTGCAGGACAGATGTCAGGCAGATGTGGACAGAGTAAAGTATTTGACATATGGGTGTTTTTTGACTGGCTTAAGAGTAAGATTGTTCATTAAACCCTTTAAAACTGTTGAGTGTGGATATAAAATACTATGATATAACTATTTAAGGTATGAGGTTGTTATATAAACAAGATTAACCTTAACTTGACTGTCGATAATCCACATAAAAATTCTTCTCATTCGCAGCTTTAATCTAGTTGTCGCTAAGTGAGAAGAAGGGTTTGACAACTAGTGCATGTTTTTATGGAGTATGAGCAAATTGTAAGTTTTGTAACAATGGTACAATTATGGCTTTTGAATGGACAGTGACCCGGTGGACATTCAGACCCTGAGGAGCGCAGCAGCCAGTAGAGGAGGCCTGCTCACTGATGACCTGAGGAGGAAAGTGTGGCCTAAACTACTAAACATAAATGTGTATGATCTGCCGTATAAACCTGGTGAGTTTAACCAAAGTAAGTATTTTAATATTTACTTTGCTTACTAGTAAAATGAACACTAATAGTTTTCTTTTGTTGTAGGTCGGGATGTGAGGGAGAACCACAAAGACTACAACCAAGTAGTTCTGGATGTCAGGAGATCCATGAAGCGCTTCCCTAAAGGTATGTGTGTGTGCATTTGTGTATGCACATGTGTGTTTGTTGTCTCTAGCAGTGTACCCCTGTATTTACAGCAACATGGAGTTATCTGGCACAGTTATTAAACTGAGTCAAAGCTTCACAGAGCAGGCTTTAATCTTGCAAAACATTCACAAAGACAGGATGCAGCAGAGACAAGTATCTCATGTTTTCTAACTGAGAGTGTACACCTTTCTACCTGAAACTATGGTATTCAAAGAGTGAGTGGAAGACTGACTTAAAAAGTTGTAGACATTTAGTAAAAAGCTAGAGTCATAGCATTAGATCCTTAGTATTGTTGATCCTGTTGAAAGGTGCAACGGATGTTAGGATAATGACAGTCACAGACATTTTGTGTACAGTAGATACTGTGTGTCTCTTTTCAGGTTGTACTTCTGGAAAGTTTACTTCTATGTTTTATGCTCATCTTGTGCCAGGAACCCATGTTCAGCCTTTAAATTGCTACAACCGAGCGGTTTGGGGCCCACATAAAATATCCTGGATATCGTGTTATCAGACTCTAATGAACCAATAACACATCTTTCTGAAGTTGCTGTTTGGATGTGATAAATGCGTGGTGTCTTTCTTAGGGATGCCGGCTGCAGAGAGAGCAGTGCTTCAGGAGCAACTCATTGACATCATACTGGAGATTCTGAAACGTAACCCCCAGCTTCACTACTATCAGGGCTACCACGATGTGGCCGTCACTCTGCTGCTGCTGGTCGGGGAGCGAATGGCCATCGCCATGCTGGACACGCTTTCCAATTATCACCTCAGGTTGTTTGTTTTTCCTGATGAACCAAGCTATTGCCAAACGATATGTTTTTCAACCCTCTGGATCCCAAGCAGTTTCTTTTTACTCCTGTAACAGTCTTACTCAATGTGGGCTCATTTTTCAGTGCAGAATAAAGTCCAGTACTTTTATGGGAACAGTGTAACCATGACTAGAAGTACAGCAGTCTCAAAAGTATCTTCTGTGCAGTGTGATACAGTTAAAATGCTATAAATCTTAAACAAAAGTAGATTTTTTTGCATTACTTCTTTCACAAAAATTGAAAAAACTGAAATCAGTACATACAATATTTTTGCCAAATGACTGCTCTGCATATTGTAGATATTTTCCTTTTTTGTAATGTGTTACCATACTTGTTTTTTCTATCTGCCTTGTATAAACACAGCCTGCAGATCAAGTAAAAAGAATTTTTGTCGTGTGACCGTTGGTTGCTGTTGGGTCACTAATGAGGTTTTGGTTTTGCCAGAGAATTTTTAGTTTTTTGCAGAAACTGGTTGAAGCAAACGGTTTGTTTTTGGCAAAAAAATTAATGAAACATGTTGTATGAAGTGATTAAAATGAAATATCATATTTTTAGCTTAGATTTGGTCCATTTTTCTGACAGATTGACATGCCACAAGCTATTTATTCAAGGATAGCGGGACAGTTGAAAATCTGAAGATTCTTTCTGTTTTTTTAACCCACTGGTGGATTTTGGGGTTCAGAGGGTTAACTGATCTCATTTGCCAAGTGTATTTATGTAACTTCTGTCTGCCTTTCTGTCTGCAGGGATTTCATGGATCCCACCATGGACAGCACCAAACACATCTTAAACTATCTGATGCCTATTTTGGAGCAGGTTGATTTGGAGCTGCACGACTTCATGATCAGGTACAAACTCGTAGACGCACAACATCACACAGGTTTAACACAATCACACACGCTAAAAGGTAGGTTGTGCTGCTACCAGTAGACGTAGAAACCACTAGAGGGCACCGCAGTGTTGACGTTCACCTGTAAGCGTCACAGTCAGAGGAATGGCTGGGTGTTTTGTTATTGAATTAGAAACTGAAAATGCATCAGAAGGGAATATCTCATTAGGGAATTCTAGTGTCAGATGGTTCAGCAGCTTTTTTTTGGAGGCCAGACTGTCTCATCAAGGTCTGCGCTGTATTCACATTCATCTGTGGGGTCTTGTCGTTAAATTAGGCAAAATCAAAGGACACATGAAGCAGCTACTGTGGGTTAACATTGATGTGTGTGGCGAGGACAGCAGCCGTCTGCAGTCCCTCTGCTGTTCTGTTGCCTGTTCATAATTGATACAGTACTGGCAACCTCCATATTTGCAAACAACCTGTCTACTCACATAGACGCTCACATAAACCGAAAAAGCACATAAAACAAGACATTGCACTTGGAGAGAGCAGACAGCAGGATAAACAACACTCCACTTCAAAGTTTGGTTCGCTCTTTTTACTGCATGCTTCCTCTTCCCCTTGCCTACCGTCTTATCTCTGCCTCTTTTATTCTCTACTCTTTGTCCTCCTCGCCCCTTTTTTTTTTTGTCTCTCCCACTTCATTTTATCTTCTCGTCCCTCCCATCGCACATGCCCTTTGCCCCTTTGCCCCTTCTCTTTACCCCTCCCCCTGTCCATCAAAACCTGCAGACTTCTTTTCATTTGCCGCTGCCTTCTTCAAGCACTCCTCCGTCAGTGTTCCTATCCAATATTCATCAACAACTTCCTCTCAGAGTTTCTAATTTAATTCAGACTTTGTCAGAAATAACTACCTGTTTATGTCAGCACACACACAGCACACAAGACACCGGATCTATGGGGATGTTGGTGTGATTGTGCAAATATGCTGCAGATCAAGAAGCTCACAGGTCTACACATTTTTTTCAACTTTTCAGCTACTTTGTCAACATGTTGAGTGGCTCATTTGTCATCACACTGTGGATAAAGTGTAGAATCACTTGACAACAGATATATGGACAGAGGTCCTAACTTCTGTCTCTGCTCAAAGCTGGTCTTTTGTGTTGAATGTGAATGCTTTCTCAGACCTTTCACTGACTCTTGATGACATTGACCTCCTCCCAGCTAAAATAAAAAGAAATCAGAATCAGAATCAGAAATACTTTATTGATCCCCTAGGGGAAATTGCTTTCAGTAGCAGATGCTCCCAATCAAAAGTCTTAAAGCAGTAGGAAGTAAAAATATATAATAAAATATAAAGTATTAATATGAAATAAAAATAAAAATATAACACAAAATAAATATACATTCTGCTGTTATAAGTGTATATACAATGTAATAATAATAATGATCCTACCATTTGGTTTATTGCACATATCTTGTGGTATATCGCTAAAGTTTTGGAGTTTTTACTTATAGTTTTTCACGTATGTAGTAGGGATCAACCAATGGGATTGATATCGATTATTAGTGGTCAAAGGAATCCTAAATTTAAAAAAACAACAATATTTTTTGCAGTGAAAATGAAAGTATTGGTGCGAAATTGTAAAATAGCAGCACAGAAATTGTTTGAATGCCTTTATTTATTTATTTGTTTGTTTGTTTACATGTTTAATCAAAGGGGATCTTTTCAACATTTATTATTCACTGTTGATTAGAGCTACAACAGTTGATTCATTAGCTGTCCCCTATTAAATGATCACCAACTATTTTGAAAGTTGATTGTTTTGAGTCATGAAAAAAAAAAAAATCTAAATTCTCTGACAGAAGATTAGAAAAAATGGATGGAGGATGTTATTCCGCATATGTGATCCGTGCCTCTCTTTGTATGTGTTGTCTTTTGTTTTTAGAGCCGAGGTCGGAACCATCTTTGCACTTTCGTGGCTTATCACGTGGTACGGACACGTCCTGTCAGAGTTCAAACACACCCTGAGACTCTACGACTTCTTCCTGGCCTCACATCCACTGATGCCCATCTACCTCGCCGCCACGGTAAGAGAGCGTCGCTGCCAGGAGGAAATGAGCGAGAGCCAATGGGATTGTTTTGTCAGTAATCCAGGACACATGAATAGCGGAGGGTACTGTGAAGTCTACAGACTAGTTAATTAGATCCCTCCTATTGAACAGATGAGAAAGAGAAAGAGGGATACAGAGAAAAGGAGGGACAGAGGAAAAGATGAAAGAGAAAGAAAAGGATGAGGGCTGCATCTGGAAAAAGAACGAGAAGAAGAGCTGACTGATGTAAGATCTTTAGTAAGAAGGACACAGACACTGATTAGTAAGGCAAAACATTCTTTCACTTGCTCCTCTCTTGAATAGCCTCATATGTTCTAGGTGCTCACACCAACTGCTGCATACTTACAACTGGAACATGTGTGTGTTTGTGGGGGAAAAAAATAAAAAAAGTCTGTGTGTACATGCATCCTTTTGCTTTTTGAGGTGTTTATTTGTGTATGAGGAGACATTTTTTAATTGAAGAGTTTGTGCATGTTGATTAGTGGGTACCACTGAGCAAATTTTACTTGTTTGCAGTAGATGTTTTCGTATTTGTGTGTGTGTGTGTGTGTGTGTGTGTGTGTGTGTCGGGGCTGGGCAGAGGGAGAGCTCTGTTTGAAGTGTGTGAAACAACAAAGCAGAATGTAGTTCATGTTTCCTCCAAGGCTGAGTAGAGCACAGCATGGGGGTTTAACTCTTCATCTGCCTGTTTTGCTGCTGTGCCAAACGAGTCGCACTGGAACCAGCTAATGCACAAAATGTGGAATCTAATTCGTGTTTGAGCGGCCTGAGCTAGCCCAGGATTAAACCTTTTAACCCCTCCTCCTCAGATTGTGTTGCACAGAGAGAAGGAGGTGAAGCAGACAGAGTGTGACATGGCCATGGTCCACCACCTCCTCTCCCGCATCCCCCAGGATCTCCCGTATGAAACTCTGATTGGCCAGGCCCAGGACCTGTTCGACCAGTACCCTCCATCATTACTGGCCAAGCGGGCGGCGCTGCAGTCTCGCAAGAGGTGAGGGAACGACGGCTTAAATTAAAATCGTTAATCTGGTAAGAACAAAGCAGCAGAGATTGTTGCTAATTGAACATTTGGCTTCAGGCTGCAGACTCAAATATATACGTGTTTGATTCTTAAATACATACAGCAATATATTGCTTTTTATTACAAGAACTTAATGAGGTGTCATACTTGTTCTTGCGTTCGTCAAAAGGATGCAGCCATTACGGTGCATTCTAATTCACACAAAACTGCACCAGCAAGTTGTTGTGTTCACATTGGTCTACAAAATGTACCATAACTCTAAAAATACCTGTTGAACTTCCCAGAGCCTGACCTGAAGTCTTCAGTTCACTTGTTTTATCTGAGCAACAGCCCCAAAACCAAAGATGTTCAAGAGAAAAGGGCTGCAAAAAGTTAGGATTTGTTTTGCTTGAAAATTTACCTGAATGATGAATCTGTCATCATTGGTTTGCTTTGTGTGAAATAATTTGTCAAACTTGACAATATGCATGACTTTAATACCACATAAAACTATTCTGAGGTGACTTTTGGTGTTGTGATTTCTGTAATTCCTTACATAACCAAGAGGTGATGCTCTAAAAGCACATCCTGACTCCGTCATCCAGAGGTGCTGATAACACACACATACACACACACACACACACACACACACACACACCCACACACACACACACACACAGGCCATTTAGTGTGTGTGTGACCATCTGTGTGACCATTTTTCCCCACTTTTATTACTGAGGAGGAAACATTAGAGACATGACCACTCTCTCTTCCTCTGCGTATCCACGGCCATCAATCAGTCTCTTCCTCCCTGTCAGTGTCCTTCAATGGGGCTTACAGTCATTGTTTAAGGCAGGAAGTGACACAAGGCCTTGACTGACACACTGAAAGATACTAATGCCCCACAATACATTACCCCGCTCGCTTCCTATAGACAAGAGCTACTGAGTTAGCAGTTCTCTCAAATTGTCTCCAACTCTTTGCCTCACCTGTCTTTATCCATCACTTTATCCATCAGTCCATCTTTTCATGTCACCGCGGCTGTTCATGCTTCACCTTAGACCCGACTCTCTTCTCCATCGCAACTAACTCTCCCGCTCCATCTTCCTCTTCCTCTGTTTTCCTTCCTTTAGCCTGTCCATCAGCACCTTCCAGGCGTTTCAGCTCTCCACCCTCCACCAGAGGCCAGACTCTGTTCTCCAACGCCTCACCAAGGCCCAGGGCTCCACCACCTCCAGACACGGTAAAAATAGTCACTGTAATCTCATTACCGACTCTGAAGGAGGACTCGGCACACACAGAGAGCGCAGACACACTTGTAGATGAGCGAAGTAGAAGTGAATATTTGTTGCATGCTCTTTGAAGTCGGCAAAAAAAAAAAAAAAAGAATATCGACTGTGAAATGGTAAGAAAAACATCTCTACCACACCAGAAAATGCTTGATGGATCCTCAGTTCCTAGCATTTTTGTTGTGCTCTACATGGGAGCACAATTCTTCAAAACAAGGCAACAGTAAATATGTCATCCCCCACAAACGCTGCCCCCCCTTGGGCCAATCAATAACAAGTAAACAAATGTTGTAGCACCCCCATCAGACCAATCAAGTGCAGATTTGAATATGCCAGAACAGAACAAAGAGGCACATCGTTCCCATAGGTTTTGTGAAAATCTGATCAGCAGCATCTGACATATTGTCTGTGATGTACCGGCAATCAAAAATATGTTGCAGCATTCCCCTTGGGCCAAACAGTGTAATTTGAAAACGGATAATATGCGCACAATTCCCTGCAGTTTCATCAAAATTCAATTAGGAGCAAGATGAAGTGCATAATGGACTGGACCTTACAGAACCTTCTGGTTTCACTGTGGCAAACAATGAGCTGAAGTCAGAGATTTAAATCTGTCAAACCCATTTCTGAAACAGTTTCTGACCAGTAATGTTTTTAGTAATAGTCATTCAGTGTGTTTCTTTCCTGTAATTACTTCTTTAAACTGTAGCAGCTTTTATTGAGTGTGAAAAATTAATCCTTTAGCTTTTTTTAGAGATTATTTTTCGGGCATTTTTATGCCTTTATTTCACAGTGGCAGTGGAGAGAGACAGGAAATGTGGAGGAAAAGAATAGGTGAACGTCATGCAGTAAATGATCAGGGATTCTCTGCACGTAGCATTTACATCCATGTGGTATGTGCTGTTGGTCATTTGTTTGCCCCATGAGCAGTAGTTTTACTAAATGTTCTTAACACGTGGTCTAATTTTGGAAATGTTTTATCATTGACGAAGGGTTTAGGATTTTGTGGAAGCAGGTCTGTCACTATTAGTTTTACATGATCACAATTATTTGAGCTCACAACAGTCGTGTTTCATAATCCTTAGAAATGTTTCCATTGACCTGTGTGAAAATATCTGTGAGAAACTAACCGAAGTGTCATATTTCAATCATTACTTCCGTCTTATTTCTTCTGCCGTGATTTAATGGCACAAGCTGTTGAGGGACTTAACTTCCTACTATTTGACCCACTGCATTAATTGAGCATCTATTGTATTAATGTCGTGAATTTAGCTGCAAAGTCAAACGCTGTAGTACCTCCGTGGTCACATTTTGGTCTGAAGCCAAATGAAAAAGCAGAGCCAAATAGCTTGGAAGAAGCAATTTGTCGGATTCGCAGCGAAAAAGGTGGCAGTAAAAGGTGCTAATGCCCCAAATGCAAAGCTAATAGAGGCGTAAAATGAACAGAAAAAAAGGCAGTTAAGTTGATAACTACAGCTTTTTGTGTAACAATCAATCATGAACTGAAATTTTTCAGATATCGATAGTCCTAATGACTGCCTCATCAATGATGTCGGGTGTCTTTAGATAAACCAAGACCAAGGACTTGGGAATTACACACTGACATGCTAACACTAATGCAATCTTAATGCAGCCCCTGCAGTAAACCTTCATGGAGGTTACAATGTTCAGTTTTTGCAGAAAGTGTTTGTAAATGTTTGATTTTTTCTTCATGGTCACTTTGGAAGCTGCAGTTTGTTGGTATGTACTGAAGGATGAGTGGAATATTTAATGTAACAGGTGAAAAAATACAAAAAATGCCTCTTAGTAGCATCAGTACAGCCTGCACTCCTCTCCGAAGCAGAGGAACTCAACATTCTAACCTTTGTTAAGATTGTATTATCATTGCATTAATGTTGGGTAGGTGGATGTACCAGCAACAAACTGGCAAATCAGTGCAACTTTATTATAGTTTTAAAAAATGCTGCTTTTTGATCATGACCTTGGTTATTTCATACTAAACTGATTGTGAAATGCATGCTGCCCCTTTCTGGTCTCTGTTCCCACTCTTCTGATATTCCTTGATCCCCTTTTTGCTTTCAATCCCACAACATTATGCAGCTTCAACCTTCTTTGGCTCAGCTACGAGCATTGTGAACCCTCTTGATCCCTCCGTTGTCTGTGCTCCTCGCCGTCTGACCCCCCTCCTCCTTGTTCTGTGCTTGTAGCCTCTCGACACACAGGCCTGGAAGCAGCTTTGCCTGGGGACCGAGGCCAGCTGTGGGGGAAGGGGAACAGGATGGTAAAGATGGCAGTGTGGGGGCTGTCCGCTACGCTCGGGGTGGCCGTGTTCGCCGTGGCTCAGACCGCCATGGACTGGGGACCCGAGGTGTTGCTTCAGCTGTTCTGACGAGATGGTGGGAAATATAGGCTGGACGACACACAAACACACACGCCGACACGTGGCGACAGCAGACGCACACATCTGCCCTCACGATGGATCGACAATATACAGACTCTTGAAAACTTGGGAAAAAAAGGAGTTGTTATGTTGGTGCCAAACAGGTTGTTGCTGCTCAACCACAGTGAACATATGTTATCAACTAGTCAGCCTCAGGATTTGTATGCATGTGTGTGAGCAGGTGGGTGTATGTGGATGGATTACTGAACAGGCCTCCTGTGAACAGTCCCAGGAGCCCAAGTGGTAATTTCACGACAAAGTGATGCGAAACAGTCACAAGTAGATGAAAAAAAAGCTCCAAAGAGACTTAGAACAATCACAAAAAGACGCAAAATGACCACAAAGACACACGAAACAACTAGAAATGGATGCAAAACAACTACAGAGACACAAAAATAACCAAAAAGACACGCAAAACACTCACTGCATTTTGGTGTCTCCTCCAGTCTGGCTGTCTGGACCCTGTGTAGAGGGGAGTCTATGCATGTCTTCACCCAGGGGCCCATTATCTCAGAACCCGACCATGCATGTGAGACGCTCCAACACATCACGCTCTTTCGGGCTGCGGTAACATTTTTGCATGCGTCTTTGTTTCTCGTCAGTCGGATTATTTTGCTGATAACTTGTTTTTAGACAGTCACGCATGTTTCGTGCACTTCAGTTGAAAAAAATGTGTTTTCAGTGCGCTCGTTGGATCAGCAGCCATATCTGAGAGCCAAAAGTGCCCGTAGCCAGCGCGATGACACATGAATACAAATTATTAACGAGCGGTGTTTCCTGCTGAAAGCTTCTGGTTATGAGCGAAGACGGAGAGCGGGAGAGAAAGAAAGAAAGAAGGCGCGATAGAGGGAGAGAATTTGCCTGTGAGCCCTGTATTAATTGCTTTACTCCAGGTGTTAGCGACTTGCATTTACAGTAGAGCCTGACACACACTAAACGAGCTGTTGCTGGCCCAATACGCTGCACACAGTTAACGCGCCGCACTCGGTGCAAGCGGTGGGGATTTTCCAGATGCATTTTGCAGGAGCTCTTGAAATCCATATTTTTTTTTTTTTTAGAATCTATTTTTTAATGTTTTTTTTTTAGTAGTTTTCTAGCTGTTGGAGGCCAACGACTGCTGAATGAATATGGGGAAGACACCAGTACTTTTGCAGTCTTGAAATATTTAGCAGGTTTGTGCCAACATCCACCCTGAGCAGCCGACAACAGAGCTACAGTACACGGGCTCCCCAACGTCATATTTCTCCTGAACATTTTACAACTTAAAAATGATTTTACAGCTTTATTTGGTGAGTTTTTATTTGAACTCTTGTGATAGAGGAAATTGTGAGTTTATTTTTTTTAACTTGTGGAAGAAATTTGGGATTCCTCTCTCGCCAACACACATCAGCTATAGATATCGGTGGACCAAACATAATCACAGAGTTTCATAACCTGAAAAGTGAATATTAATAATACAGGGCGTTTCCACCTGAGGTACACACACACACTCACACATGTGTATGGAGGCGTTTTCTCCAAACAGCAATGCATGCTCTGTGTGTCGGCTTATATTCTGAAATATTTATCAGCTCTTACTAGCATGTAGCTAAGCTGCTGCTGCTGTTAACACAACTTTAATGGCACCACAACACTCTCCCCGCCTCCCCCTCCTCTCTGTCATCAGATATAAATGTGTCACATGTTCGTCGTGGAGTTGGCCCTGTTGAATTCTGTTGCTTCGCAGCATGTGAAATCAACCGTACACGGTCTTTTGTGCACAATACGACAGTGATAAATGTATTAAAGACACATTTCTAGCCTCAGGGTCTCAGGCGTTCGTCAGTTAAATGCTAACTTTTGATTGGTGATAATCAGTTAGTCATTTCCTTAGACAGGTGATCAATCAATAAATGGTCTGTAACCCACCGGCTGGCCTGCAAGCCGGTAAGGATTCTTACATGTAGGCAGTTAGTAACCTGCGCTGGTTGTCTGAAAAGCCTGTGCGTTTTTCTGCTGCACATCCGGTGTAATTAAACACATTAAATGTGCAGCGATGTGTGTCTGAGTGAGTGAGTGGGAGATGAAAAACGCTAGCTTTAGTGACAGGCCAGTTTCTTATATTTCTTTCGAACTTATTGGCCGTCTTCTGTGTTTTTATTTATTGAATGCTTTAACGCGCCGAGTGCCTCGTTATTAGCTGTCGACAGTCAAATTATTTATTTTCAGAGCAACAATCTGATTGGCTATTTATTGAAATCTTAATTGAAATGTATGAATGTGAATGGAAAAAGTGGAGTAAAAATGATTACAGTGGTTTGCAATTAGCAGCAATCTGAGGGTTTGTATTTGTCAAGTTGACCCCGTTATTTTGGATAGAAAATTCTGAATCAGAGGTTAAAGGAATAGTTTAACATTTTGGGATAAATGTATGGGACTGGATAGGATACTACTCTCATGAAGCTGTAGCCAGTAGCGGCTCAGCTTAGCTTAGCACGAAAACTGAAAACTGGGGGAAAGACCCAAAAGTAACGAAAGCTGCCTGTCAGCACCTTTAAAGCGCACGGATGAGCATCTTACATCTAAAACCAAAGTGTAGAAACAACAGGTAGCAGTTTTATTGAGAAATGAGAGTGATATCTATCATCTATTCCATGAAATCTTTGTATCGTGTGTCACCTCGTAGATTAAAACAACAATCACATGGCATTGCTCAGTGTAACGTGCACTGTTGTGTGGTGCATCGTTGGCCCTCTGCAGCGAAGTTAAGTCTGTTACCGTTGGCTGCAAAGTTGTTGTGTGTAATTGTGCATCTGTGATGCTTGGATACATGCTTGATTGATATAAAACACTTATAATTAGAAGCCATTTTTCATGGTTTTTGCTTATTCACATTTGGCTGCCTGACTGTAATATACTTAGAAACACTCTTTGACCGCTGCCTTTGATGATGATACTGTGTAGTTGTGTTTGTGGCACGTAGACAAAGACGAACACACACACAGATTCCAGGAGAGACTGGTGGTGGTGCCAGATCCTAATGAGGGTTTAATTCCTGCCCGTGGCTCTTGGCTAAGACACTTTCTCCTTGTCTTTTTTTTCCCCCCAATTACAAACACATTCAACTCCAACAACACCTACACCAGCACCTGCCCTGTTCTCTGGCTGGCACAAGCCTTCAAAAGTGACTGAAGCTTATTACGTGGTTTGAGTGAAGCCAATCGGGATGTTAAAGGAAGATGATGGATGACGGAGATGCGTCGAGAGTTGTTCTGGGGCTTTAGGGCCTTTCAAATTTATAAATGAAAGCAATTTAATCCTATTATTGTACGAGGAGTGAATGCAGAACAGAGAATCCACGGGATTTGATTTCACTGAAGTACAATAATTCACCGTTATTGATCAGATTTCTTGAAGATAATTTAGAAAATCACAGGTCGATTACTTTTTATACCCCGATTTTGATGCTTTGTAGTTACAGTTTCTTATTTTTTTACATCTCCCTTGAAGTCACAAGTCACATCCGTATTGAATATTTGAGGCTTTTTCTTTGCACTTCAGCTACTATTGCCAAAACAAAATGCTGTAGATGATTTTTTGGAAACGTTTTAGCAATCTGACCAGATGTGCTTCATCTTTTTGTTGATTACATAACAGGTGAAGCATTTTTTAAAAATCTATAGATATATAACAAAAGCAACAGCAAAGAAAACATGAAAGAATAATAGTATGATAAAGGACAATGTTGATGCAGGATTTAGATTTTACAGTTGTTTGATAAAGAGCCCAAAAATGAGCTTCCACTGAGCTTGTGACTGCTTTGTTCTCTCTTTAGTTGTACGTTAGTACACGTGGTTCTTTGGTATTTTAGTGCATGCTTCCAATGACGGTTTCTAAATATCTGGTACAAACTGTATCCTCGAACATATCAGTCTCTCTGCACCTTGTACTTATTGTACTGATCTGTGTTTCACATGTGGATGGAGATGTTTTCATACATGGAATGGAACAGTGAATAAATACGAAAGAAAAAGAAAACTTGTGGTGTGAAACTTTATTCCTGCCCTTAGAAAGAAATAGTTCTCAGAAGCTGTGGGCCGCATACTTTTTTTATTGTTGTGACAGTTTTGAATTTGGTAAACATGTTAACCTTCTTTGGATTATCTTGATTATGTTAAAGGATTTATATGGGTTATTATTGAATTGTGAAGCTACATTTCAGTCTCTTATTGTCTTACTTTCATATCTCTATCTGTAAATGTGTATTCAGATTTGTCAAACATCCAGAGACCTTGTACTCAAATCTGTAAATACAGTTTTTACATACGTGAAGGAGTGTGTGTGGCGATCAGCTTGCAGGGTTTTCTTTGCCCCGAGCTCACGCTGCCAGGCTGTGTAATGCTCACCTCACAATGTGCTGCCTAAATACCAGTGTGCGGTAGAAGCACCTCGTCATTTTAATCGACATTCTTGGCCTGTTGTGGTTGTGGTTTTGCTGCCATTTGGTAAATTACAGTGGAGTCCCAACTGCGATGCGTAATTGCTTGAGCGTGTGTTTGTATTTTGTTATGATCCTCATCTCTTTCATGACTACATGCAAATAAGTCTCCTAATGATACAGGAAAATCCCACCCTGCAAGTTGACAGGATTGGCTCCTACAAGCTGACTTTCTGAATCAGTGTTTTTTAACAGTTATCAGGCAGAAATGCTCATTGACTGCTTATTTTGCTCATCATATGTCTTTTTGAGCATATAAAAACACCAAATGGAGATGTTAACAAGGTGAAAACAACTAACGAGATCTGCATTGGAGGAAATCTTTAGAAGAGGCACAGACAGAAGCGCAATGATGTGTTCTCGTGAATTAAATTAACCAAGAGTTACCAAATAATGATTTTTTTGGCCACTGTGTAAAGAGTTACAGGTGCTAAAACTAAAAGCAGATCTTTCAGCTCAGTGTAGATGTGAGGGACTTTCACCACTCGAGGGTCGAGTGGTGAAATAAAAAGTGATGTAAGATGGCAGCTTCCAAATGAGGGCCTGATACGACATGATAAACAGTAAGACATGCAAATCACATCTCTCAGGTTCTTCCACACATGCCCAGTTCTTCCATACAGATTGTTTTATAGAGCCACAAATCTGAGTATAGACTCTCCACAGTATTATTACATTAAATCCTCCGTCCAGTCCAACTCTTGCTATGCACACTGCACCACTACACATTTACACACTGTTGACAGAAACTGTAATGACAACCAAGCAAAAAGGCAAAGCGTCCCTCAACTGTGACCATTTTTGGCCACATTTGGTGGTAAAGAGAAATACTTCATCAAAAGCCATTGCAACCTTAATCAGTGTCGATAAGTTTCAAGACAGAATCTTCTCGTCTTCCTTCTCTTCTCTCTGTTTGCGCTGTACAGCTGTTGTCTCTTCGTAGCCACCGTCGAACTGACCTCCTTGGAGAAATGAGGTCAGAAGCCTGTTTTTTGTGCGAGTGTGTGTGTGTGGAGAGAGGACAAGGCTACGCATCTGTCTGTCTGACCCCAAGGGAGACGACCAGAGATTGAGAGCGAGCGAGGGGAGGGAGGGAGTCTGGGGGGCAAATCAGAGATATGAGGTGAGGCAGAAATGCAGGGGTTAAAGAGGAGCGAGGGATGAGATGAAGGATGAGCAAAGATTTATACTGTAGGAGAAGACATCTGGTGGACGTGTTTGAGGTAACCGAGGTCCTCGAGAACACGTATTTTAGCGCGGTCGCTGGAGGGTTTCTAATGAGCCGAAATGGAGGTGAGTGTGGGTCTAATCAGGGTTCGGAGCAGATGTGGAGAAGGATGGTTTGAATTAATGCACCGAGCAGTCTGGAGGTGTTACGACCTTAATTTCAACACTAAGTGATGACCAAGATCCACACAGTTTTCTCCGAAGCTCCATGTCTGCTTCTTAAAAGAAACCTTTGATTCTTGAGGCTGCAGAAAATCAGCATAAGCTTAACGTGTGCAGTTCAGCTAAAATCACACAAGTGAAAAACGCAGATGAACCGACGGGAGGTTTGCAAAGAAAGTAGGTGAAAGCCGAGTGAATCCGCGTGTCAGAGTGTGCAAGCAGAATAAAATGCTTCATACGTGTGTGTGTGTGTGTGTGTGTGTGTGTGTGTGTGTGTTAAACATTGGGCACGCTGGGGACAACAGCTGCTCCAGGGGTCTGTCTGATGTTTTTTTTTTTTCTTTTTTCCCTTCTCTCCCTTGTGACACACACATGCACACGCCTCAGAGCCGCCGACAACAGCAGCAGCAGCACCTTCACTTTTCACTGAGCCGTGACAAAATGACTTTTATTTTAATTCATTCGCTGGATTTAGTTTTGCAAACAAAATAAGATCAGTGTTGCCTTTACCGGTATTTGTGTTGTTGTTTTTTTTTTCTTTAATCGACTGAGTTGATCTCGTCCCTGCGGTTTGTAACCTTGGATCAGAGCCAAATCTTTAATTAATAGCCTACATGCTAAGTGTCACAAATGCATGAAAATCAATGGTAATTATCCTGAGAAAAGCGACGTTTGTGGTGATCACAGTATATACTAAATCTCAGTCCTGATTAAATACTGATATCCCTTGATCTGATGCATATCTGCGACAAAATACTCCTCTGCAGTTTGCATGTCATACTGAAGTTATTATAATTAACAGTGTGTGGCTGGTGTTCACATCAACAGCCATCACAGCTCGGTGCAATAAAACTATAATTTAATTTTGGTTGTGTTATATTGTCACACATCTAACCCTGCATTCATACAACCATCTTTATATGTCAGATAAAAAGAATCTTTGCATATCGAAACCATGGAAATGTTCTCCATCAGTCCATGCATTCTTAAGTGCAACATAAAGTTCATTTAATAGCTTTAAAAGAGACTAAAAAAAGAAATGAAAGCAGACAACAACCACCTGTAAACACCAGAACCAAACAACACCAGCATGAGCAGACAGCCAGAGAAAGATCAAGGAGGCCATGCATATCCATCCATCCATCCATCCATCCATCCATCCATCCATCCATCCATCCTCTATACACCGCTTAATCCTCACTAGGGTCGTGTGGAGGGCTGGAGTCTATTCCAGCTGACTCAGGTTCACCTGGACAGGTCACCAGTCTATCACAGGGCTACACTTAGAGACAGACAACCAAGCACACTCACATTCACACCTACGGACAATTTAGAATCACCAATTAACCTCAGCATGTTTCTGGACTGTGGGAGGTAGCAGGAGAACCCAGAGAGAACCCACGCTGCACGGGGAGAACATGGAGACTCCACGCAGAAAGATCCCGAGTGTCCTCACTGGGACGCAAACCGGCAACCTTCTTGCTATGAGGCAACGGTGCTAACCACCGGGCCACCTTGCAGCCACCATGCATATCTGTTTACATTTTCACCACCTGTACTGTATTTACAATAAACTCATGCAGGAATGTGTTTCATAAAGTAAGATTTTTTCATTTTTTTAAAGAAAAACTGTAAAACAGAGCTGACATGCTGTCAACTTTAAAGTCTAGATGATGAATATGTGACCAAATGTTTCTGTTTAAACATCCAGCAAATAGGGAGCAACATTAATAAATCATTTCGAGTCATTTTCTTGTTGACCTGGCAAAACTAATTCTCCTTTAAGCTGTGTTTTAGCTCCGACAACTCCCAAGAGAAATATTTTACTGTTTTCCTATTCACCAACAGTTGCAAAATTAGTCCATTTGCAGTTTGGTACTGGGTAAGAAGTGTACAATGTATTTTTAAGGGTTTCTTAAGACAGAAAACTCTTCTATCAGTAAAATTTCAGGCCATCAATACCAAAACAATGCACTGAAAGACACTAAAATTGCAGAGTTAAGAGAAACTGCTTTGTCAGGTAACAAATCTCTGTTGCTTTCTCACCATTAGCTACTAGATTCCCTATACGAGTAGATATTTAAGCCACTGTTAATGTGAAAATATTGATTTTAAACGCTTTAACAAATTAAAAATCTTTTGACTGTTGCTTTTTTTTTTTTTTTTTTAAATCTTGAAAAAAATGTTCCACTTTTGGCCATGAGACAACGCGATCTTTCATTTCTTCAATCAGCAAATCAAAGTGTGGCACTACACCGATACACTTTGACCGCATCACATTTAATTTACAGCGAAGCCGCATCAATCACGAAGGCTTATGAGGGTGAATTTCTGCACGCGGAGGCACAGTCGGACTCACACGTACAAACTCTCTTTGTCTGCGGCTCTTTTCCCTGCACTCTCCTCCCCCCCTTCTCCCGCTCAGCCCTTCACTCCGTCATGGATCAGAGAACATGTCCCAAAGTGCTTTACAGGCAACACACGTGCAGCATGTCCCTGCATGCTGATGTGACTTTACAGCTCCAACCTTGTACAGTAGATGTGTGCGTGAACATCCAGCAGCGACTACTCAGACGGTGTGAAACTCCGCCGGTAGTAGATGTGTGGCTCTGCATGCTCTGAAATTGTGTGTGCAGTGGGACGGACACTCGCGTTACCTTGAAACAACCATGAGAGTAAACGAATGGATACCTCATGTCAGTTTTATATTTAGATCCTGAATGGCGGGTTAAAAAAAAAAAAAGATGCTGAGAGAAAGAAATGATATAAATCTTAGGATCTTAACATGGCCAAATGGCTAGTAATGGAAACATTGGCATCCATTTCTCCTATTAATTTATTTTTTTTGTACAGTTTATTACATCTTATCTCTTCTTGTTGAAGTTCAGTGGTTGTGATCACATTTTACTCACCAAAGTGACTCCTGAGATCTGCAAACAGGTGCCATCAAGAGACACAACAAGACTAAAAGCCTGCAGCCATGACAGTATCTGTGTTCGGCTGTACATTTACACACCAGTGCTACGATTTAACTATCATGCTCCAAATGACGACGTTAACCTGCTGATGTATACAAGATATATAGTGTTTACCATGTTCTAGTGTGTTAGCATGCCAGTATTTGCTAAAATATAAAGTATAGCTGGCGTTG